GTGTTGCTCAAGGATAAAGTTTTTGGTGCCAGCATGTCTTCTACAGTCCTTGCCACTTGGTAATCCCTCTGTTTTCAAACAATGCCAGAGTGGCCTATGCTGGGCACTTGCAGTAAGCAACAGAACCTAGTTTGAAGTTAGTGCATTTTTTGTTATTATTTACAGAATTCTATTTATAGAAAGCAGTACAAGTTTTCCTTCTATATAAACCAGTCATCCTTTATAAAATAAACATATATGGGTAAAGGAAGTAAATCAATTAAGAAGAAGTTTGGTGAATTGCTTTTCAGGTGGTGCATCTGGTGGGTGACAAATGCATGACATCACACACAGGCACACATCAACAGGTGTGTAGCACTGTGAAGGTAACCCTGAGTGACAGTAAGTCTGTAGTTCAGGAAACTAAGTCCTTGCTTCAGGAGAACACTGCTCTCTCTGCCACCACCTACCTACGTGGCTGGGAGAAAATTACTTTTCAGTTTCTCAGCTTACTCATCTTCACAAACAATGGAACAAAATTATGCTACAAAAATATATGATTTCATCTCCCAGGTATCATCTTCAACCCTCAGGCAAAGCAGGAAAATAACATTTCAGAAAAGTAGATCAGGAGCATAGTGGGTTAAGCTGCCACCTGCAGTCCCGGCATCCCATATGGGTGCTGGTTCTAGTCCCGGCTGCTCCACTTCTGATCCAGCTCTCTGCTATGGCCTGGGATAGCAGTAGAAGATGGCTCAAGTCCTTGGGTCCCTGCATGTGTGTGGGAGGGCCAAAGGAAGCTCCTGGCTCCTGGCTTTGGGTCAGCGCAGCTGTGGCCATTGCAGCCAATTGGAGAGTGAAACAGCAGATGGAAGACTTCTCTCTCTCTCTCTCTCTCTCTCTCTCTCTCTCTCTCTCTCTCTCTCCTCTTTCTCTACCTCTACCCCTACCCCTACTCCTACCCCTACCTCTACCTCTCCTTCTCTCTCTGTATAACTCTGACTTTCAAATAAAAAAATGAATCTTAAAAAAAAAAGTAGATCAAAGATCTGAGGATGAGTGACTTGTCCAAGGTCATACTGCAACTTAATGTTAAAATCCAGGCTTCCCTTCCTTGGTGATCTGCTCTCCTCTACCAGTTCTGATACCCTCTACCCCTGCTTACCTGTTCCCAAAGAAACATCTATAAAACAAGTTATATTTGCAAGGCACAGCAAACACACACACACACACATACATACATTAAAATCTTAAAATCATCTTAAAATCATGGAGAGGTAAGTAAGAAAAGGACAGAAGCAGTATTAGATTTCAGAGTGTTGCCACTTTGGTAAAAGGAAAAAGCCATCTGAAAGCTGAGAAAACACCTTACGGGGTTTTCCACCATGTTGCAATTCCCTCCTGTTCTTTATTTAGATTAGCTATAAGGAGCCAGGCAGCCTAAGCAAGCTTTTGAAGGGAGGGATTAGGATAAAAGGGTAACTAAATCATCTTTGACTTACATACAATAAAACCTGCTTAATCAGAGACCAGATTCAATCACCACCTCATGCTCAGTGGGATCAGGGAAAAAAAAATAGCCATCAACCATTTCCAAGGGGAATTGTCAGTCATCATTTTTAAAAGTGAAATTTTCAAACTCTTTTAGGGATTTTTGTAGTAAGAAATGTACATATAGGATACAGTTGTACAACACAATGATCTTATCATCTTTAAAAACATCCTTGTTTTTGAAAGCATGCTGAACATTTTTACAACTGAGCTCTTTAGAAACAAATAGACCAGACTTACAGGTAAGTTAAAGTGCACAGAATCGGAAAATTTTAATCGAAACTCACCATGAAATGTAAAAGGAATACATGTCATGCCCTTTGCTTACGTGTGTGTACACATGTGTGTGAGTACATGGATGTGTTTGCAAGGACAAACGCATGTGTACAGTTGTGGGCAATTGAGAGATGTGGTCAGACAGAGGTTCACATGTGAAGACATGGAGACTTTAAATGATTGCCAAGCTCAATGTGAGCTAAGGGAGATGTGGCTGCTGGGGAGAAGAAAACCCATAACAGAAAGTTTACAGACAACCTTGGATTACTCTGCATACAGTAACATCCCCCTGCATGGTTCACCCACCGGCCAATATCAAAAGCCTAGGTGCAGTTATGGAAACCACACTTTCAGAGGAACAGAAACAAGTCCGGCTGGGAGAGGGGAGGGAATCTGTAACTTGAGTCAGCTGAGGAATGGCTCATAGCATGGGCTCCAGGGCTAAACAAGCCTTCTTCAAATATAAGATGTGTAACTCTTCTGGAACGCACGTGCCCTTTACTGTCTCCCAGGAATGTTGTTGAAAGGACTCTACAGGGAGATTAGACTTGAACAGCCTAAATCACGATATCCCTCCCTGCTTGGGGATGTTGTGGCTTGCAGTATGAGCAAAACAGCTCCTATTTTACATGGCAGTGGATTAAATCATTTCATTTCCTTCCTGGGGAAGAATATTCTGTAGAGCAGAGAGTGTTTGGACAGCCAATCAAGCCCCTAAGAGAAAATACATGTGATGTGTTAACAGATTTGCCCACTAGAACTCACCACTCCCATCCCATCCCATCCCACCACTCAACCCACAACCTTTCAGTCTAAGAAGCTAAAAATTAAGGGCGGATGGTCTGGCATCAGGGAGAGAGACTGATGGCCAGATGTCATTTATTCACACACATCAGAGCAAGGGAGGACCATCAGAAATGCATGTTTCTGGGTTCTATACCTCGCTTACTGAGTCCGAATTATCATGGGTCGGAACCAGAAAGTTCGTGTTCAGCAGGCTCCCCGGGTGACTCTTACACATGCTACCTGCAAAGCCCTGTCCTACAGCAGTGCTCCTCACACTTCATGGTTTGGTGAACATTCAGACCACCAAGAGAGCCTGCTCTCTTGAAATTCTGATCCAGAGGTCTCAGGAGGGGTCCAGAACTTGTATTTCAAACAATCTTATAGGTGACACTGTTGCTGCTGGACTGTACTTGGAGTTCAACATCTTAGGGAATTCCTGGTTCTGTTATCAAAAAACCCAAGTCTTATGGTAGAAAACTTTAAGATTATTTTATTTGAAAGGCAAAGTTACAAAGAGAGAGAGAGAAAGAGACAGAGAGAGACAGAGAAATTTTCCATTTACTAGTTCACTGCCTACTACTAGTTCAATGGCTGCAACAGCTGAGATGGGCTGATTCGAAGCCAGGACCCTGGAGTTTCATCCAGGTCTCTCATGTGTGTGCAAGGGCCCAAGGACTTGGGCCATATTCCACTGCTTTTCCAGGTGCATTAGCAGGGAACTGGATCAGAACTGGATCAACTGGGACTTGAACCGGAACCCATATGGGATGCCAGTGACAGTGCCAGCCCTGAATAGAAAACTTTGAAATGATGCCCCATTGATTCCCCACCTCCTGATCTTCAAACGTTGGGTAATCCCTGCCTTGTGTGGGAGCTGGACTTAGTGACTCACTTCTACTACACAGAATGAGCAAAATGAAGAGGATGCTACTTTTTTTTTTTTTTTTTTTTTTTTTTGACAAGCAGAGTGGACAGTGAGAGAGAGAGAGACAGAGAGAAAGGTCTTCCTTTTCTGTTGGTTCACCCCCTAATGGCTGCTGTGGCCGGCGAGCTGCGGCTGGCACACCGCGCTGATCCGAAGCCAGGTAACAGGTGCTTCTCCTGGTCTCCCATGCGGGTGCAGGGCCCAAGGTCTTGGGCCATCCTCCACTGCACTCCTGGGCCACAGCAGAGAGCTGGACTGAAAGAAGAGAAACCGGGACTAGAATCCGACGCCCATATGAGATGCTGGCATCGCAGTTGGAGGATTAGTCTATTGAGCCATGGCGCCAGCCATGGATGCTACTTCTGTGACTAGTTATAAAAAGACAGTGACTTCGGGGCCGGCGCCATGGCTCACTTGGCTAACCCTCCGCCTGTGGTGCCAGCATCTCATATGGGTGCCGTGTTCTCGTCCCAGTTGCTCCTCTTCCAGTCAGCTCTTTGCTGTGGCCCGGGAGGACAGTGGAGGATGACCCAAGTGCTGGGGCCCCTGTACCCGCATGGGAGACCAGGAAGAAGCTCCTGGCTCCTGGCTTCAGATTGGCACAGCACTGGCTGTTGCGGCCATTTGGGGAGTGAACCAATTGAAGGAAGACCTTTCTCTCTCTCTCTCTCTCTCTCTCTCTCTCACTGTCTATAACTCTGTCAAAAAAAAAAAAAAAAAAAGACAGTGACTTCCTCTTTTCTTGCTTGCTGGCTCTGACACAGCAAGCTGCCATGTTGTGAGGAGCCCCATGAAAGCCCATGCTGCAACCAACTGTGCACAGCCCCTTGCCAATGAGTGACCTTGGAAGCCTTCTCTAGTAGAACTTGACAGGATGGCATCCCTGACGACACTGATTGCAGCCTGGTGAGCTATCCTCAGCCAGAGGACCTGCAAAATTTCTCTGGGGTTCCAGCCTTGCAAAACTGCAGGATAATGCATTATTTTGGGCTGCTCAGAGTGCTGAGAAATACTCAGTATCAAACAGAGGTACCGGGGCCAGTGCCATGGCACAGTAGTTTAATCCTCCACCTGTGTTGCTGGCATCCCATATGGGTGCCAGTTCTAGTCCCGGCTGCTCCTCTTCCAATCCAGCTCTCTGCTGTGGCCAGGGAAGGCAGTGGAAGATGGCCCTAGTGATTGGGCCCCAGCACCCATGTGGGAGACTGGGAAGAAGCACCTGGCTCCTGGCTTCTGATAGGCACAGCTCCGGCCATTGCGGCCATTTGGAGAGTGAACCAACAGAAGGAAGACCTTTCTCTCTGTCTCCCCTCTAACTGTCTGTAACTCTACCTCTCAAATAAATAAATAAAATCTTCAAAAAAAAAACAAACAGAGGTATTTTGCAAAGTAGAGACCTTGAGATCAGCAAGACATTTTAGCGTTTACCATCCTTCAAGTCTCCCATCTCACCTGGCCCTCTGAATAAAGAAGACAAAATGCATTTGTGTGCACATTGGTGATATTTAATGATATACAGTATTTACAAGCCATTGGTGTAATTCTTTCCTTAACACTGCGTTTTCAAGCCTTGGTCTTTAGGAAGCTTCCCTGGCATTTCTGGGAGGTTGTGTAGGGGTACAGGCTCCAGGCAGGATGGAAATGGGAGCCTGAGTCATACTCGCACACCCTGCGCACCACCCAGCCACTCCAAGGCTGTATCTTTGGAACTGAGAGCATGGTGGATTGTCTCCTACCAGTACCTGTGGGCATGCAGAGTGGCACCTCCTTCTGCTCCGAGCAAAGAAGAGAAAGAAGCCACGGGCTCCTCAGCTGGCCAAAGGAAGACTCTTTCCCTGAGAAACTGGGTGATGACAGGAACTCCACTCCGCCTGCCTTTTCACCAGTGCACGGCCTGATTTTCTCACCGAGGAAAGGTTTCTCTTTTTCTCCAGAATTACAAAAGTGCATTCCAAATGCTGTTTGTGTAGAAGGGCTACGGTCAACTAGAAGAGGTTCCCAATGCTGAGCCCAGAGCCAGGACGTCTCCTTGCTGCTCCATCAACTGCTCCTGGTGTGGCTGGGAATGGGCCCCTTTCCTTTTGGGCATTGCTCTTCTTGTTGCGAAGCGGTGCTGAACTCAGACCCTCCCACATAGCATTTGAGAGCCCAGGCACGGCTCCCCTCATAGGGCCAGGCCGCCCCCGCTCAGCCACCGCGCCCTCTCTGCAGAACATCCGGATTGGCTGCTGTGCCACAAGGCGCTCCGGCAGATGCTGTCCAGCCTGCTCCTAATGGTGTCCTGCAGCTCCTCATCACCGAGCAGGACCGCTGCTGCCAGGGCCAGCAGAAAGTACTCAGTGGCATCGTGGGCATCCTAACCTCATGGTATGGGGGCAAAGAAGAGACAGCAGGAATGAATACTTCCAGGACCAGCTGTGCTAGAATCTCAAGTTCTTGTCTGCCACATCTCATCCCCATCTGCCAGTTCCAAGGGGAACTCCACTTCCTCCCTTCCAGGGTTCCCCTGACGTTGCTATCCACTGTACTCCTCCTTCCCAGGCATAGAAGTGGCTCCTTCCCCAGGCTCAGCCAACCATGATACATTATTGCTCTGGGCATGCTACTTCAGAGGCAGGTAGATGACCCAAACCTCACCCATCCATCACTCCCCACAATTTTCCAGTGTGAAGGAAAATGGTCCTTCGTCCTGTTTGATGTGGGCTTGAGCTTGCCAGGAACTTGAGTGGAAGGAGGCCACATAGCAAAAAGTGACAGAGACCACATAGAATTAAGGGATACAGAGGGGAAATCCATGACAGCATTTGAGGATTGGGATCCAGAACCACCTGAAGCTAAATATATACTTCAACTTTCCAGCTACCTGTGCCAATAAATCGTCTTTTTTGTTTAAGGTTGTTGGAGCTGTGTTCTTCCCTTGGCATTCTCTAGGGTCCTTGTTTGATGCCCTCAGATCACATACAGTTTGTCTATGAACCACATCCTGGGAGCTGCGGGGCAACAGCAACCCGGCTCAGGAATCCTTCACTGCCCCTGTCCCTCTCTGCATGGCACAGATGAGGAACAATTGCTTCAGAAGGGGAGGTCTGATCCCTGTAAGTCTGAGGTTAAATCAGACCCGAAACAAAGTCGGGCAAATGAGAAAAGGATGGCAGGGCTGCCCTTAGGGTTCCCTGGGGACCCAACACAGGCACAACTCAGAAACCACTGGATGAAGAGGTGAGGGTTGTGCGGTAGAGACCAGGGACCTCGGATAAAGGGAGGCCAAATCTGGGGTCACAATTTGAGGATCAGAGTTGTCAGAGAGAACTACAGATCAAAAACCCAGCTCTAGAAGTAACTGTAAAAATAGAAAGTTCTAGATATACCTCCAGCATAATAAGCTGGAGAATCAGGGCTTTCACTTTGTTAGGACCCAGGCGTGCTCATATTTGGGGGCCCTGCACCTCATTACCACATATACTATAAAATATGCACCTATAGGTCTTATTTATAAAATTCATATACAAACTGTATAAGAAATTTTGACATACAACATTTTGTGAATATATGACTAAGCATTCATTTTGCTTTTAATTTGGGAATTTTTACATCATATTTATGCAAAATCTGGTTTTATACAACTTTATATGAAATGTTATAGTAGATCTATGTCATTGTGTGGACATATGATGAAATATTCATTTTGATTTTAAATATGGAGCTCTAGTTCCTTTGTGTGCAGGAGTCACATATTTTCATAGACTCAGGGAGCTTTCAGGTACTAGGCAGTGTGCTCAGAGTCCCTGATAGATAAAGCACCACAGAAATCCTAGCAGGATGAAGACAAAGAGGACCTAACAGCTGTATCCTCAGAAGAAACAAGAGTACTTGTGAGGTCTCTGTGAGGTTAAGTGAAAATGGCCATCCCATCCCTGTGGAGCCACTCCCCACAGGGAGTCAAGATACCCCATTGTGGCCCACTGGTTCTCTCAGCTCCACCCCAAAGTCTCCTGACCATCTCTGTGGGGTCAGGAAATTACAGTTGGATGGCTGTGCTCACGTTACCTGGGAAGTTCGGCTCCTACCTTCAGCTGGGAGAAGGTGAGTCGGCCCAGACGATAATACACTTTGGCATAGTACAGGGCCTCCTTGGGGCTCTGCAGCCAGGGTGGGCAGAGGGACAGTGTCTTCAGGTAGCAGTCCTCAGCCATCTCGTACATGTGCAGGGAGTAGTACACTGTAGCCAGGCGGTGAAAGGCCACCAGCTCCTGCTTCTTATCTCCTAGGAATTGGAAGACTGCAAGAGATATCCTACAGCCAACATTCTGCATCATCCACTCACTCATTCATTCTATAAAACTTTTGAATTGTCCATTAGATGTCAAGGTTTGTGCCTGGGGTAGAGAGAACACTACCGAAGAGGTGCCCACCTCATGAAGTTCATCATCTCATAGCTCACAGATACTCCTTATACAATCCCACAAGCAAATGTAATAGTGCACCTACAACAAGTGACTGTGAAGTGGCTAAGTAGAACATGCATGCTGGCCGTGCAGGATGATCCTACTGCAGCTCTCACTGTAACTCAGGATTCTAGGAAAGAATGCTTTCTCAATCCCTCTTATGGGACAGGGGACCAGACTAGTTTGATGAGTAGCTAAGTTCCTTACAACGAATACCTCTGTATAATGGTCATCTCTACATGCAAGTCTCTCTCTTCAGAGAGCCTCCTCGGGCTGCCACCAAGCAGCAGGCCCTCTCTAGCTCCTTTACCCATTTTGGTCTCAGAGGAACTATAGAGATCTGTTCACTTTTAAACCAGACTTTAAAACAGTGGTTTCTAGCAAGTCTATGACTTGCTATTTTGGTATTTGGGAGGCTTATTGTTTTGGTAACTAATCACCTTAATACAAAGTGATGTTTCACAGGGAACAAAGGTTTATAATTGTGTCTTTGGATACTTGCAAGGCTGTTGTTTGATGCCATCTAAAAATATCACTTTCGAGCTTCAAAGAGCCAAAAGCCAAATTTTGGCAAAAAAAAAAAAAAAAGAAAAGAAAAGAAGAAAAAAAAGAAGATGAGAGAAGAAGAAAAAAAGTCCAAGAAGAGAAAATTCCCTGTTTTGGAAAAATACAGGCACAGGGAAGACATGCATAAAGGTTCCTAGAGCTTTCTTTCAGCTCCTGCCCAGGGAAGGCTAAAGAGTTCTCAGAGGAAACTGGAGGCGGGGTTGGGAGAGACCAAAGTCTAGAGCCTTTCCTGAGATTAGTAGATACTATCGCCCAGATGATGCTTAAGGTGGGCGAGAACGAGTGAGGCGAGTGAAACAAACAATCAGACACAATAAAGTCCAGTACCATCCACACTGATGCCCTTGAAAATACCCAGAAGTCCCTTCTGCAATCAAAGACGACTCCATTTGCCCCCATATCTGATTAATGCTTTGCTAACCACACCTGCTTTTCTTCAAGCACCAACATTCAAGACAAGTGTTGTGTTTTATTGTTCTGCCCTCTCCGTGTTAACAGCTTACATTGTTTCCCACCAGCTGTGGCTGTAAATGCAAGCTCTTCCAGCTATGTTGTCAGTTAGGTTAACGGGAATCTAACTTTCATTTGAGTTTCATTTCCATGGGAAAATGTGCATTTGACTAACCAATCAATTAAAACTCAGCACTTAGTCTAAGATATCACTTACCTGTACTCAGGGAATAATACCGATTATAATATTAATTAACATGGCAAGGCAACACCTACCAAGGACTGATATACCTAGCCTTGTGCTGTGATCTTTATATGAATAATCACTGATCTTCATGGGATGCACACTGTTTTTAATACTGATTTGCTGATAACAAACTTGAGGTTTCTAGAAGTTAACCAGTTTCTTAACGAAGGGTCGGTCCTTGACTGTTAGACCTGGGATTTGAACCCACGCAGTCCGACTCCGGAGCTGAGGCTGTTACTGCTTTGTGAAGTAGTGCTGACCCAGTTTATATGTCTGCCCCACAGCCAGAACCACCTACCTGTGACTGTGCTCAGTCTGGCAGCCAGTGTAGCATACTCCAGAGCCTTCTCATAGCCTGCGAGGCTGATCTGCAGCTCTGTCAGCTTATTGAAAATCCGGAGCTCAGTCCTCAGGGCCTTCATCCGCCTTGCTAATGGGACAGCACCCGTCTGAGGAGGAGGCGTCAGGAGGCTCAGTACATGGTCTACACCAAACTCTTGGAGCCTATATTCTACTGGTAGGGGCTGGGTGGGCTAAATGAAGGGGACAGGCATTCCTTTCCTCAAATTGCTCATGGTCCTTGCTCTTGGTGCTCTGCTCAGATACTAAAAGTGTAACAACCAGATGTCATCAGGCTTCCTAAAACTGGAGAAACTCAGAGCAGGCAAGGCACAGGAAATTATTCCCCTCTCCCTTAAGCACCCCCAGTACTAATCTACACATATGAGTTTGTACCTGACACCTGAAAGTGCTCAATACATGCTCACTTCTGTTATTTTATTGTGGAGAATTTGAGACAGTCACATCACCTTCTGAGCCTTGGTTCTCTTCTACAAAGTGCATATGAGAATAAAGACCTCAACAGTCAAGGGTCTGTTTCTTGTGTCATTGCCCCTAGCTCAGTGATTGGCATATGGTGAGTACTTGATAATGCTGACAACCAAACAAAAAAACTAAAAAAATAAAATAAAATAAAATGAATTGATACTTGAATAAAGGAAATTTTAGGGTCAAACAAGATGAGGTTTCTAAAACTCAAGTTGGTGATGGACAACAATTCATGTCTATTCTAACTGGACATTGATTTCATTCATATTATCTTTTAAATCAACTCTTATTTTCTTGCCTCATCCTTTGCAATATCTGTGAAATCATGGGTGTGATAAGCTGGTATTATAAATTTTTAATTTTTAAATGTATGCTAACATTTGTGCAATAAGAACATAGTAAAATGAAAATGAAAATGTTTATCTATGTACCCTTTAAATCACCTCTCACCATGTTCTTAGCCATGCACAGTGACAAGTGGGTGACACTGGTGAACGTGAGTGTATGCTGAAAACTTTAAAGTGCTATGCACTCAACAGCTCCAGTTGTTATGGTGTATTGTCCCAGGGCCAATGATTATATCAACCACGAGAATGACTGAGTTTCTCAGACCCTTCTCTGAGAGTCTGCTAGATGGAAAAAAAGGGCAACTGTATGGGCAGTGGATAAGGAAGGGAGGGAAAAAATATCAGCAAGAGAGGGAAAGAGAGCCCAGGCTGAGTCCAGTGTGTCCTTGCCCACCAGGGCCCAAGTTGGCACCCACAGAGCCTGTGACTTACTCGGTAATACTCCACTGCACGGTGCCTGTGGCGGGTCCCATTGAAAAACACATCACCTGCTTCTTCGTAGAGTTTGAGGGCCAGGGAGGGCTCCTCTGACTTCAGGGCTGACTGGATGGCTGCCTGGGTAGGACAGAGATGGCCAAAGGCAGAGAGAAGAGTTTCTATGCCCCCACAGGACTGGCAGGAATGAGCTCCATGCCACGCAGTTTGAGCCTTGGCTGCAGGTCCCCAAATCCTGAATTGTCCTATATACTCACAGGGCCAGTGAGAAAGCTCCACAGTCCTCTTGTCTGGCATTTCCCCACTGTGGTATGAGAGATCACTTTTGGTGGTACTAGTGGTGATATAGAGCAGTATATCATAAGCCAAACAGAAAAGCTTCTGCTTTAATAGTTAAGTATTAAATATGTTTTAGAAAAAAAATGTGATGAAGAAGGTGAACTGTGAAGAATGTATGGCTGCATTTTTGCAGCACATTTGTAGCAACTCAGGAGACTTAGAGAAAACTTGATTTTGCTAGGAGTGACCCATGGAACATCAAGTTAGGTGGCAGCCTCGGACTGGTAGGACCTGGGACCAGCTCCAGCCAGTGAACATCTAAGTGCTGGGAAGGACACTGTACTGAACTGTACTGATTGGTACTGCTGGTTTGGCTACACAGAGAGAGGCAGGGCAGCGCAGTGAGTACCAGAGTCAGCAGCTTTGCCATCAATGCAAGCCACAGCCTTAACAGCTCCCCCTGGGCTTCAGCATAAAAGGGAGACTGAAATGTGTGCTAAAAAAGGGGGGGGGGGCGTTTCTTCTGTTGGAAACCCCCATCCATGCCACTCTGGCTGGAGGTCTTTGACTCTAATAAATCTTGCTTTTTAAATCTTAAAAAAAAAAAAAAAAGTGTGCTGAGAATGGCTTCCAGCTCTAAAATCCCATCCAGAATGGTGCAGCATTTGAGTAAAGGCTCCAAGTCAGATAGTCTGTGTGCAGTTCTCAGCTCCACCACCTACTGGCTGTATCACCTTGGCCAATGACTTAGCTTCTTTGAGCCTCGTCTTTAAAATGCGATTTATAATGGAAACTCCTACCACCGTTGTAATGAAGATTAAACCGCATCATGTAAGTGAAACATTTAGCAAAGTTTCCTGCCCATGGGAAGCTGTAAACAATATGATGCAGTCAGTATTAAATCTCCATAGAAAGGAATTTAGCACATGTTCATAATAGTATAAGGGAGAGTACAATGAGACAAAACAAAAACGGGAAGGAAGAAAACATGATGGGCACATTTTTGAGTTAATAAAACCTTACCTACCATCATATTATTTAATGTTATTATGTGTATATAACAATAATAGCACTATGTCATTTATTGAGTATTTACTAAGTCCTGAGCACTCAGCAAGTGCTTACTGTGCATTTACTATAACACACATACACACACAAGGGTACTTAAAGAAGTTGGGAATTAACAGATGAGTAAGTTTTGGTGCAAAAATATTTTTATACCCATTCAGAGCTTTTTCATAGTGCCCATTTCTCATGAACTTTTCGAACACTCTCCTTCTGCACTGAGATACATATGGAAAGAAATAAGGTCCAACCACAAAGACACTGAGGCACAAAGAGCTCATGAACAGTCACGCCCTTGACACTGGATGGCCTGTGATCTCATTGTGGACTTCTCTGTCTCCAAACCAAGGCCATTAATCACTACACTATATCACATGTCAGACATTAAAAGTATGCAAACTGACAAAAAGCTGTAAGAGAATTCACATACCAACCTTGCCTCAAATTGCAGTAAAACCCTGAAGTCAAGGCAAGTGTTGACTTTGGCAGATGGGGACACTTAACATTGACAGGTGACATCCTCCCAGGACTCACATGTGTATGGGGGACTCATGGCCTATGCCATTTGTCACCTGCACTGAGCCTACTAGACTACTCTAGTCTCCTTCATATGACCCAGGAGCAGCCCCAGGCTGACCCTTTGCTATGCACTTAGCATGGACATCACCCCTCTCTGGTTCCATTTGATCAGTCTGGAAAGTACAGCTGCCTCCCTAAAGGACCCAAGTGAGCAGTTCCCCTAGAGGTCATAGGAGGCCTACCTGCAGGTACAGCTCCACCAGCTCGTCTTCCTGCATGAGGTAGTGGAGCCGCCCAGCCCCAAGCCAGGCCTCAGCAGCCTTGTCTCTCTCCCTCAGGTCGATGAAGATGCGCAGGCTCTCCTTGATGCACGTGAGAGACCTCCTGAGGGATCTGGGGGATGCACATAGCCTGTGAGATATGAGTTCTCAAAGGGGCCTGACATGTCACTCAGCACACAAGGAACATGAGGGTCTGGAGGAAAACTTTCTCCTAGATCACACAGAGGACTCAAGGCCTCACTGGAATCCTGGCTGTGCCCAACTGGCAGTGTGACCCCAATAGAAAGTAAAGAGACTCCCCCATGCCTTGGTTTCTCCATCTGCAAAATGAGAATATAATTGTACTTGCTGAAGAGGATGACTGTGAGGATTAAAGGACTGTACTCTCATACAGTAAGCACTTAATAAATGTTGACTATTAGTTCTCATTATTATTACTGACCCATGGTTCATCCATCTTTCAAATGTACAATAACATTGCTTTCACAAGCACCTAACATTTAGTGGATACCAAATGTACATTGGCTGAATTAATGTACAAATTAGTGATCAGAGTGGTAAATTTAAATCATCAAAAAGATTCTGATGCTTTATTAATAAGAGAAATTAAAGTAGGGTGAAATTAAAAGGTTGGTGTGCTAATGATTACTCTTTAATAATTATCTGGTATCCTTTATTAATTTGGGAAATTGTCTTATATAGAAAACTCTTCCTCCATAACAGGATTAATGAAAAAATGAGTGCCGTATAGATGCAGAGTTCTGGAATGGGAAGGAACACTGGCCAGCAATTAGTCACTTGGAAACTTTGTAAACAGGCATACACAGACACTCCTCCCCAGCATGTGGAAATACTGTGCTTATCTGGGCCCTGGACCTTCTGGGAGTGTGACTCAGGCACAGTGCAGTATTCTGTCAAAGTTCCCCAAGAGACTCTCTTATGCAGCTTGGTCTGAGATTCGCTGATCTAGTCCAACCTCCTGATTTTATAGAGCAATCAGGCCCAGACATGGGAAGTAACTTACACAAGGTGGCTCATTAGGAGGAGATCCAAGGCCAGAATTCCTTTCTCCTGAGTCCCAGTCCAGGACTCATCCCATGCCACTGACATTTCCCAAAGCATGATTCATGGTTCACATGGCAGCAGCATTACCTGGAAAGCTTAGCACAGACTCCCAGAGCTACCTCAGACTGAATCAGAGTCATCACAGTTGCAATACAGACATCTGAATTCCTCAGGCACATCCAGTCTATTCTCATGCACACCAAAGTATGAGAATCACTGACCAAACCACATAAGTTCTAGAACCACTGGTCAACACCAACCATCTCTGCAGACACTTGGGTAGGAGGTTCTCACTGGACTTGGTCACTACCTTATTAAGGACAACTCATCACCAGACCTCCTTGTGTTTATTTTACTTTCACCTACTTGAAAGGCAGAGCGAGAGTGAGAGCGAGAGAGAGAATCGTCTTTCTACCAGTTCACTTTCCAAATTTCTGCAACAGCCAGGACTTGGCTAGACCAAAGCCAGAAGTCCAGAACTCCATCCACGTCTCCCACATGGATGACAGGGGTCCAAGCACTTGAGCCATCATCCATATACCTCCCAGGATGCATCAGCAGGAAGCTGGATCAGAAGTGGAAGAGCTGGAACTCAAAGTAGCACTCCAATGTGGGATGTGGACACTGTAAGTGTTCAGTAAATAGTTGTCAGAGTTATCAATAGATCTACAAAGGTCTTCTACACCTCACTTGGTTCAGCTCTAGAGCAAAATACCAAGTATCTATGTTATCTCACCTAAAGACAGAAGACAAGACTCCCAAAAACCATTCCCAGTGAGAGACTGAAGACTTTTATCAAACTAGATTCTATAGTTATCACCTGAAAGGTAGAGAGGACATGACTCTGAAGGTATGGGACAAAGAGACAGCAAAGTATTTCTAGGCCAAAACTCAAAGACTGAGCCAAAGTTTTTAGCATCTCTTTGCTCTCTTGTACTACCCCCCCCCCACCTCTAAACCTCTAAACCCTCTAAACCTCCTATCTTCCAAATAGGAGGAATTAAAATCAGTAGAAAGGCAGTGTGGGAGAATAAAAAACACCTTAAAGTGAAGGGTCAGAAATATAAGCTGATGTCTATAAAAGGAAGTAGTATAATCAGTCTGGATTCTCTGTAACAGCAGAACTCAGACCAGATGAATAATTAGGCCATGCTCATCCACAATTGCATGAATTTTCATTATATAGCTATCCATGCCTATTGATTATCCAGGGTGAGAATTACTGGTGAGGTCAGCAGAATACATACAGAGTATTTAAGAGTATGCATTGTAGACCAGGGATTGGAAAAGTATAGGCCATGAGCCAAACAAAGCCTTCCCCCTGCTTTTGTTAACAAAGTTTTATTGGAACACAACCACATTCATTCATTTATAAATTGCCTATGGCTGTTTTTGTACTATGACTGCAGAAATTTTGGCAGAGATCATGACTCAAATAGCCTGAAACAATTACCATCCATTACTTTATAGAAGAATTTGTTAACCTGCTCTAGACAGGCAAATTATTTGTCTTCTTTAGCTCTCAATTTTCAGAATTCTTTCTACTTCTTGTGAGACTTACACATCATTTAGTAAACAATGTGTGCTTGCTGCATGCTGTTAGTGTTTTGGCCACCCTTTTCATCACGGTTGCTCATAGTGCAGTTTTGGAGGTTCACTGCAATCCCCCACCCAATATCCACATCCCCTCCTAAGTGACAGAATTGCATCTTCCTTTACCCATACCCAGTTTGTCACCAAAATCTGTTCGTTAAATCCACAAAATCTCTTTCAAATATGTTCCCACCTTCCCATTGCCACTGCTGTCATCCCCACCTGAAGTGCTACTCTATGTTTCTGTACTAATCAGCATATTACTTGTCCTGCACGGGTCTCCTCAAGTGTTACGACTGTCGTGAAGCCTTCCCTAATTCCCCTTCCCTTTTGTGGAACGTGTTCTCTCCTTTCCTGAACATTTCCACCCATTCTTCCATGAATACTTCCTGCTTTGCTTGCTATGACTTGGAGCTTTCAGAGGGCAGGAATCCATTGAGAGGAGTGTGGCTGAAGAAATCTATCCACTACATCAGGACGCACTTAGTGAATTCCTCCTAGAAATCAGTGCCAGGAAAAATTTGCTCTAAGAAATGTATTTATTTATGTTCTGCTTTCAGACAGTAAGAACTTCACATGGCTTTCCCCTTTTCACCTTAGCTACCAGGAAGTTTAGCACTAAATTACAGTAACCACACCCTGTGCATGGAAACACCTGTTTTTCCATGTCTGTTAGCTGGTCTTTGTTCTTTCTTTCTTGGTTCTCCATAGCACTGGGTGATTTACACATGCTGAATAAATATAGCACTGCAGCATGCTCTCTTTGAAGAACAGGTCACTCCACAAGAGGGCAATGACCTTATGTTTGCAGGGGGTTCCTCTGACACCTAAAGTACTTCCCAATTTTCCTCTTCGAGTCACTAACACGGGTGGTAAAGTAGAAGTGGGTATTTATCCCCTCACAGCTATACAAATAAGAATATCAGAGCTGAGAATCACTGAATAAGTAGGATTAAAAGATCTAATTAAAAGATCTAACTTCTCAGACAATGGAGTAAGGATCTCCAAAAATTCACTCCTCCATAAAAGGCATAAAAACACTGTCAAAAAATCAAATAGTCATATTTCTTCTGAACTCTGAAAGGCAGCCAAAGGCTTGAAACAACCCGAGAAGTGTTTATGCAAGAGAAATGGCTGAATCTTGTGAAGAATACTGAGCTTTGATATTTTCGAATTTGCTCTAAAGCCAACTTTCTCACCCCAGCCGTTGTGTAGCCTTAAAAACAAACAGCCTGACAGAAGCAGCTTCACAGAAGCCACTGGAGGGGACGCGATGAGTTTGGAATTCCCCCAAAATGCCTTCCCCAGAGAAAGGTCACATGTGGTCTGTCCGAAAGTTCCTGAAAGCAGCACTCACAGGGTTTGTCTTAGCTTACCTGACTCAGAGCTCCCTCAAGGAGAAACACCTTTTTCCCTGAGTGTTTGCCCCCTCCCCCCAAATAGCAATTACTGATCACTGCCACACCCTGAGGTGGTTTAAAAAATTGAGGCAAATAAAAAATGTGACAATAAAATAAAAAGTCAATGAATAAGATGTCCATAAGAGGCTTTGAAAACCTTCAACAGGTTCCTAGGAATCAAGAAGACCACATGCACATACAGGGCTGTGTACATGCCCAAGAAACACCTAATATCATTATAAATTAAGACTCTAATTATACACTCCAAGAAAGGCATTAAGAAAATAACGGAAAGAAATGCAGTAAGAGAAATGGCAAGAAAATTAAAATAGTACCCTAGAAAATATCTATTTAACACAAAAGCAGACAATAACAGAGGAATAGAAAAATAAAAATGATGTGAGATACATAAGAAACAAGTAGAAAATGGCAGATATAAAACCTAACTTAGCAGTAATTAGGTATAAAGGAATTAAATACTCTAGTGTTTAAAAGTGATTCCACTAAAAAAAATTTTTAAGCAATCCAACTACATACTATGTGTAAAACACATACTTTAGATTCAAAGACAAATAGGTTAAGAAGTAAAATATGAGAAAATATATACCATACTAACCATAACCAAAGAGAAATGAAGTAGTTACACTAATATTACATAGAAAGAACAAAATTGTAACTAAGGACAACAAAGAAAATTTTATAATGATAAAATAATCAATTTATCAGAAAGACAACAATTACAAATATATATGCACTTAACAATGTGGCTCCAAAGTAGGTGTAGAAAAAACGTACATAATTGAAGGAAGAATGAGAAAATTCATGAACAATAATTGGCTATTATAATAATTCACTTTCAGTAATGGATGGAGTAAATAGACATAAAGCAATAAGGAGACACAAGGCTTTAACCATAAACCAATTAGGCCTAATAGATATCTACCCCAAACAACACAGAATATTTACATGGAATATCCTCTAGAGTAGACCGTATGTTACTACAAAACAAATCTCAATAAATTTAAAAAGAATTAAATCAAACAAAGTAAATTTT